CCTGGAGCGGGCGTTACAGGGGCCAGGAGTGGTCGTAACCGTTTTGGGCCTCCCGCTTGCCACACACATCCTTTGTCTGGCAGTGTGGCTTCATGTGGAAGTTGGTAGCTGGGTGGCAACAAGCAGCACTGCAGCAAACGTCCCTCTCTGAGTGAGAAGCAGGAATTCATTGAACCGTAGAATGGTGTGGGTTGGATGGACCTTCAAAGCTCATCTAGTCCAAGCCCCTGCAATGAGCAGGGACATCTTCGACTAGATCAGGTTGCCCAGAACCACAGTATGGCCTGGAATGTCTCCAGGGATGGGGCAGCCACCACCTCTGGACAACCTGTGCCAGGGTTTTACCGCCCTCGTAAAGAATTTTTCCTCACAGCCAGCCTGAACCTCCCTCTGTCAGTCTAAACCCATCACCCCTCGTCCTGTGCCACAGGCCCTGCTGAAAAGTCTCTCCATCTTAGTTAAGAATAAGACTCTTCTCAACTCAGGCTGAGAACATTGGGGCTGTTCAGCCGGAGAAGAGAAGCTGCTGGAGACCTCAGAGCAGCTTCCAGTGTCTGAAGGGGGCTAGAAGGATGCTGCAGAGGGACCTTCATCCGGGACTGGAGCGACAGGACAAGGGGTGATGGGTTCAAACTGGAACAGGGGAAGTTCAGGTTAGATCTAAGGCAGAAGCTCTTCCCTGAGAGGGTGCTGAGGCGCTGGCACAGGGGGCCCAGTGGCTGCCCCATCCCTGGCAGTGTTCAAGGGCAGGTTGGACACAGGGGCTTGGAGCAACCTGCTCTAGTGTGAGGTGTCCTTGCCTGTGGCAGGGGTTGGAGCTGGATGATCTTAAGGTCCTTTCCAACCCAAACCAGGCTGGGATTCTGTAACTTAAAGAAAAAAGCCTCAGATCCTCGTGTCATCTGTGCAGTTGAATCACTTAGAGCTGTACCTATACCACAGAGCATGTTTATGCCATGTGGTGAATTGTGTTGCAGCCTGTATTGACCTCTGTTGATTAAGGCACGTGCCTCTGGCTCCTGGGACGTGTTAGCTTAGCTCATGAAAGCAATATAGCTGTGTTGGCGTCTTGCCTCTGTGGGGTTTGCAGTTGTGAGCACAGTGCCATCATAACTTGCTGTACAATTTCGGGTTCAGAGGTGGGATAGGATTTTGTTTTAGTAACAGGCATCAAAGAAATTCTTGGCCAGTTTCCCCTGGGTATGAAAACTCTTCCAAAGTACTAAGTTTGAGCATATTGCTTTTGGACATGCTTAGTGCCATCACTGGTGGCATTGGTAGTCTAAAACTTAGTGCTGCTGTGCTGGTTAACCTATATAGACGTTGTGTATAACAGGTACTCAAAAGCAGTATCCCTAAACTCAATTTGCTTTTGTAACTGGATGTGAAATACTTTTATGCACCTGTGTGGGGTCAGGATTTAAATGCAGCTTGTGTATATATTCTTCTCTAGCCAATTTTGCTCATATGGTCAAACTATACATTGAAATAGAAGAACAAATACCTGTCTCTAGAATTATGTTGGTGAGCGGTGTATCTACTGCAGGGCTGTGGTTTGTGTGCGTGGAAACCACCCTCTGCTATGGCCAGAATCATATGCTAGGAGGACTTTTGGCCAAGCATTCTTCCAAAGTGCCTTCCCAAAGCTGACAAAGCAGTTGTCACCATATTTGTGTTGGTCATCTGGTGTGGATTTCTCCTGTGTGCTAGTAAATCCATGCCTGAAGCTTAGACACAGTGTGTTCTGTTAGTGGGTAGAAGATTAAGTGCTGGGTTGTTCATGCTAAACATGTAACGTATGGAACGTAACTTTTCTTTTCCCTGTTTGGTTTTGTTTTGTTTGTTTGTTTGTTTTTTCCAGTTTAGGTCTAATATCAGATTCTTTTCATATGTTTTTTGACTGTACTGCTCTATTGGCTGGATTAGCAGCTTCAGTTATTTCAAAATGGAGGTCAAACGATGCTTTCTCCTATGGGTAAGAAACTTCAGGCTGTTACCTTAATGTGCTGTAGTAAATGTCTAGTAGTAATTGTTCACTGCATGAACAAAGCCTCTCTTCACAGAACATTGGGAAAGATGTTCAGTGTGGGGTTTTAAGGTGACATGTCAACCTGTAAGGTAGTAACCCCCTCATCTCATACCGCCTTCATGGATGTAGCTGCTCCACCTGATGCTGTTCCAAGGGCACTGCTTCCATTGCACATTGCGGTGGTGCCCTATGAAACAATACTGGTGATAGAATGTTATTAAATGGGTGATATGATTAATTAACAGCAAATGAGCTGTAACAGGGGTTGCTGCATTCCCTATAGCATTACTGACCTGAATGTCAGCATTTAGTTTCCGCTGTGTTGCCTAAGCATGGATTGTGTAGTCTGAGACTTAAAGCACTGTTTAATTAAGGTGGAAACTCCAGTGTGCCTAGAAATCAATTTAGGAAGAATTGATTGTGCCGTGAACTAATTGCAGTGAAAGCAGGTTCTGTATTAATTACTGCTCTGCATTTAAACAGCTGGTGTTCCATTTATTAGAGAGCAGCCACAATTTGTTAAGTCTGATGTTTGCTACACTGGGTTGATGTGTTATTCTAACCTGACTGCTTCCTATTGGAAAACTTTAGTATCTGAAATAGTTAATTTCTACTTAAAACTTTTACTAAAAATCCCCCTTGTGGGGGGGGGGTGTGTGTGCAAATTAATATATGGCTGTTTGAAGAACTTCACATCAGCAGACTTCAGTTACATCTCCCAAGCTTATCTTACTTTGTGGCTTCCAAATATACGCTTACACTGTATTTTCCACTAGAGAGCATCTAAAATGGGAAGATTTTGACATATTGAAAGCTTTCTTTCATCTAGATCAGATAATTTCTGTCATAATACAACACAGTGAATTTCTCACTGTATATACTTTAGTTCATTTACTGCATCTTCCATTTAGCAAATCCCTGTGTAGTACAACTGAGAGCTAGAAGATTGTACTCCAAGTCTTGTAAGTTCCACTTCTAATTTTCAGCATTATAATGGAGGTGTTAATATCTGCTTGGTTTTTTGTTTCTTGCAGGTATGTTCGAGCAGAAGTACTTGCTGGATTTGTAAATGGTTTATTCCTCATCTTTACAGCATTCTTCATTTTCTCTGAAGGTGTTGAGGTATGTTATGGGGTCCTTTGCACTGTCAATGGTCACATTGCTATTCACAGAACAAGTTTTAATGGGGATAAAATCAGTGAAATTGAATTGAGAAAATTAAATGATGTTCATATTGGTTAAAAAATTCTGAGATTTGAACAGAGGATAAGGCCATCTAAAACTGCTGGTTCGTGACACAGAAACCAGCTTTTTAAGTGTGTCAGTGCTCGCTTCACGAATAGTGTATTTTGACTGTGTGTAAAGGTTCTGTGAGATTTACCCTGTCCTTTTTCAGGCAGTTAAGCATGTCATAGAAAGACCTTTATTTCTCATTGTGAATGGACAAATGAGGCCAATAAAGAAAGGTAAAAACTAGTTATTCAGAGGAGAGCTGTAAGTCATAAGCCACATCCTGTGAAGAAGCTGGTCTAACTTATTAAAGAAGAAGCATTATGTGCCACCTCTTGGTCTGGCCTAACTGGCAAGTAGTAATAAGCTTTAGCATTTACAAGGGCACCTGATTTTTATTTTCTTTACAAGGTGGTTCAGGTGATAATTTCAAGACTTAAATGTTGACATCAAGCATGTCTGCCCTGAAGTGAGGTAGGACTAAGAGTAAAACCGATAACTCATTCTGACCAGTTTATATTAAAGCTTTTACTTTTTAATGGGAGACTTCTAGTTCAGAATACATTCTAGTGGTTTTCTTTTTACTTGAGAACTGGGAAGAGTTCTCAGGAACATATCCTGTGTGGAAATAAGCCTGTAAATATCTCAAAACTGGTACAAACTGGATTGAAATTGCTGAAAACTTGAAAACTTCAAATCTAGAAACAACAACAGAAGTTGCTAGAAATGCAATAAAAAGTTCTACTGGAAAGGTCTAGATTAATGTTGAAACATCACTGTTTTCCTGCTGGTCTTAGCTCCCATGGTAAGTGTTAGCTTTGCTTGTCTTGGTGACTCCTTTTATCTCTGTTGCTTTAAAATGTTACATCTACTGCAGGTTTCATTGTCTTGCTGTTCCCTGCATCTTTCATACCTGGGGGCAGATGGGGAGTGTTTCTCTCCCCCATCAGCAGTCATTTACACTCTTCAAGGCTTAGCTTCACGCTGCAAATTGTGTTAGGCCTATAATGTCTCACTGAAGAAAAACTTCCAAACAAACAGCTTCAACTTCAGGCAGTAAGAATTGTCCATGTACCTTCCCAAAAACTGAAAGTCCCAAGTGATGTCTAGGTTTTTCAGTGTCTTCTAATGAGATAAAGAGAATGTAAAACTCTGCATTTGCTTCTTGGTTTGTGATTTTGGGTTTGTTGGGTTTGGTTTAGTGTTTGGTTTTTTTTGTTATGTTTTGTTTTCTAGAGAGCACTTGAGCCTCCTGATGTGCATCATGAGAGACTTCTTCCTGTTTCTATACTAGGATTCATTGTAAATCTTATAGGAATATTTGTTTTTCAACATGGAGGTCATGGGCATTCACATGGCTCTGGTAGGGTGTCTATAATTTTCAGTCCTGTTTCCTTCCTTGGCACCCTGAGAACCCCAGGATTAAATTGTAATGTCCTTTTAGTGGCAATCCTAGGCAAATGCATACGTGACTTGTTGCAGTACTGACTTCTATGCTCCATCACTAGCCCTGGTATGTCACTTCTGGTGTTAATACCCATTCCCTGGATGACCTAGAGCTCCAGAACGTGCTCTCTGGAACATGCACTCTTCAGTGCCTTATTGGGAGAGACTTGCAGAGTGACATTTGGACAAAATTAAGCTGGAGTTACAGCAGGTTTTGGCTGGAAAATTTACAAAGCAGTGTCTGAACCAGATTTTAAGCCTGGGATGACTCAGTTTCAGATGCTTCTCAACTTAAATTCTGCATTTCAATTCAAAATATAGCATTTGCCTAAATATATATATATGGTAAGTAGGGGTTTTCTTTCTGCAAAGCTAGTTGGTGTCTCCTTCAGCTTACCACATAAACTGATATAGACCGGTGGAAGAAAATAGGCTTTGGTCTTTAAGCAGTGATTTAGCTTAATTTTTTTCTTTTAAAATGTCTGAATAATAGTTAATTTCTGTTTTCTTAAAGCAGCTGGTTTTAATATGCTTGTATTATATGTACGTCTTCACAACTGTACTAAAAGCATAGCACAACTTACCTCAGAAGTGGGAATGTATAAAAGCATTCGACTTCTCAAATCAGGTGTATTTTTATACAGTTGCCAAGCATAGATTTAGATGTCAGACAGCTTTCTGAACTTATTTAAAGTTGTGCATTAAGGTGACCTAAAGATGAATAGGTTTTAAGTTGCTTAGAAACAAAAGTAATCATCTTTTGATTCAGCACTTGAAATTTATACTCTGATGGTGCCATTTGTTTATAGGGCATGAACACAGCCATTCTCTATTTAATGGTGGTCTCAGCCATGGACACAGTCACGGAGGTCATGGTCACAGCCATGAACATAAACACGGCCATGGACACACTCATGATCATGGCCATAGCCATGGACACTCTCATGGTCAGGATTACTGTCATGGTAAGTACTTGGTTCGTGTCATAGGCCATCGTGACTTAACTTATATGTTGTACTTGGTTTGGGATCTCAAATGTAAGATTTTCCCCATCTTGTGTAGTTTTAATCTGCTTTAAAGCTGGTTATGAAAAAGGGACTTGGTATCTCTTCTATGCTTGAATCTTCTCTATAAAGGTGAAAATCTATGAGGAGACATCCATGCAGGATATTAGCAGTATGGGAGAAGAGACAGTGTGGTTACCACCCATTTGAAACAATGCAACGAAAGCCTTATTGTAATGCAGCCATGCCAATCCTTCCTGCCTAAGCCATAAACTAGGATGTGGTGTGACTCCAAGTGGGCAGGGAATAGTGTAACTTGCAGACAGGAAGTGACAGTATAAAAATATTTACTCGTCCCTTCTCTGCTATTCTTGGTAGAAAATTGGTGCTTGCTTTGCAAGTGCTCTCCCAGAGTCTGCTTGGAAAGCAGGAGCTCCTTCCTCCTGCCTGATCCTTGCTCTCCCCATGTTCCCCACCCCAGCGGAACAGCGAAGGTAGTTTTGTGCCATTTGATACTCAAATCAACTTCCACATAAATCGTGGTGTATTTTCAGTAGAAGTCATTTACAATCCTTTAACAAGCTTTCCTTAAAATATCTTCCTGACATAGAATCATGGACTGGTTTGGGTTGAAAAGGACCTTAAGCTCACCCAGTTCAACCCCCTGCCATGGGCAGGGACAACTCACACTGGACCATGTTGCCCAATGTGCTGTCCAGCCTGGCCTTGGACACTGTCAGGGATGGACATGTTCCACAGAGGCATTAATTTGCTTGGTTGAGAGGATTTTTTTACTTAGTTCTACCTTTTCCAATCCTTGTTGGTTTACATTAGGCAGAAATGCTTAAGTGAAATATTTCTGGTTAGCAAATTTATTTGACCTTGCTCTTGTATGTATGGCTTGTATTCTTGAGGGGGTCTTACATTGCTAAATCCTAGAAAGGTCTTATTTCTCAGTTTGTTTTCATTAAAAAGCTGTTGATCTTTATGCATACATAGAATCTACTGTGTGAAGTTAACCTACCACTAATTAATCTTCACAGGTGACCATTCTCTTGAAGGGGTGGCTGGATCCAGCAAACAGATTTTACAAGGTATGCTGAGAAAAAGTGTAGTGGTTTTATTAGTGTTTTATCATGGTCTGCCTGCTTAGGACTGACCGTCACACATCTGGTTTAGAGGGTGCCTCTGGGGACATGTTCTGTTTGTCTTAGAGGAGCTATTTTATGAAGTCCCCTTCTACATCCACGGAAGTTGAAACATCAGTTTAAAAGGGAGCTCCCAAAAGCTGGTATTCAGCTTCTGTTAGTGACGCTGAAAACAGGAAATCATAAAACTCTAGGAAAGAG